TGTTAGCATAGCAACCATACAAGCACACAAGGGAAATGATCGTACTTGACGATCAGTAGAAAAGTTTGAATTGATTGTATAGTGCAACATTCATTATACAGTACTAAGGGAGAATCAAACTAATTATATAGTATGATCTTCATATCATATTGTACTAACAGAGATGGTTAAATTAAAAATTAGGGATTTTCTTGGATCATTGTATTTAAACAACTCTTATTTCATTTAAAGAGGTCTTTGGCAATCAAGGGGCTTGCTTGAGTCTTTTTTGAGAGAGAGTTTGAAAGGTGTTGTTGAGAGAGAGGGAGAATAACCTTGTGGGATCAAAGGAGTATGTAAGAGAGGGTATACACATTGTTACTTTGGCCTATATTCATCTTCTTCCTCCATAGGTCAAAGTTTTACTTGAGGAAAACTCTGGAAAGAACCTCTTAGAGTCAAAGGGCCACCAGCAACTCCGTCACACCATTGGTGAAAAGGATTTGGCTTCACTCAAAATGAGATTTGAGCTAACTCAAAATTTATGTCATAAAAAAAGTTATATAAATTTGTGCTTGTAATGTGAAGTCCAATGATTAAGTAATATTCTTATTTTTTACAGAGGGACAAGCTTCAACATCTATTATATTAACTTTTTCCTCCATGTGTGCGCTAGTACATGTGTTAGAATAGGATTAGGGCATAAACCAAAACATGAAATGCAAGGTGATGAATAATGCAACACCATCACATTTGCACATTCTTGTGATTAGATCTCAAACCAAAGCATTATATCAAATTGGAGGGGTATCATCATAAAAAACAACACAAATTGTAAAGCATGGCTCCTAAACTTAAGTGGATGACTGTTAATGAAAATAACTAGGCAATCAGAAACACTTATTTTTCATGTGCATGGTCGGCCCCCCTTCTCTCCAAGAATCTTATATTCAATCTAATCTGCCTTTAAAAAGTTTAACCCGTAACACATCTTAAACTCCCCTACCAAGAGGCCAAAGCATGAATTTTTAGAGGCCACTAGACCATCACCACAGAAGATATTCCAAAAATGGTGTTGCTTTCGATATTTAACTTTTTGTTATAATGTTATTTTTTACTTCTATAGGATTTGAATAATTTTGCATATACAATTGTTTGTTCAAGTTTTTTCTATAATTGTTGATTTTGCTTCTATGTTGTGATCATGTTATGAACTCTATTTATGCAACAAAATATTAATTACTTTCATTTGCTTACTCATACTATATATTATAACTTGCATATGAGATTTTTTTTTATGAGTAAAAAACAAGTTTTTATTAATCATGGCTCTTGAAACTTGTGCACATTCCACCAATGAGAAATATTATTCTTCTTCTAATTCTTTTTCATTATGTTCTTCTTTTCTTCAGCCCTTTCCTAACAAAATACGAGTCTCTCTTTTTATCTTTCTTTGACGCAAACTATAGCTAAAGTTTTTATGTTCTTTAGAAGTGCCTAGTTTCAAATTAGAACCGCTAGCCATTGGCCCCATTACCAATTATACATTTTTTTAATATAATAACGACCTTCAAAGCATGATAGCCTTTCAAAACCTTGAATGTTAATACTACAAATTACAAATAATTAATATTCCATATTTTTTTTAACAATTTTTAATTTAAATCTTTTGACCTTTTTGGAATTTTTTTTTTTTACCTTTTATCATATGCTAACCATTTCCTTTTTGGATTTAGTGCTTGATCAAACCTCCTGTAAAGGAGTGCACTTAATCACTTGACATTGTGTTTCATAGGGATGTTTGTGCAATTTAGCGTGCAAAATTCGATCAATATTTAAGCTATTCTTGATCCTTAAAAATATCATCTGCATGAATACGCTTCAAATTTTCTTATAATCATCTCTAGGTTATGGAGAAGCTAGAATTGGCTAAGCATTCTAAGTTGGAAAAGAGAAAGAAGACAAAAGGCATATGCTTTCATTTTGTGAAAATACAAAGTAGAATTTGATTCATTAGTTAAAATGTTCTATAAGCGTACTATCTATTTGCTTGTGGTTATAGGATTTCAAATGTGCTATAAGCGAACTAATGATTATATGATACTATATCAGCCCTCCCAAATAAAAATAAATATTATTTATATTCAATTCATATTAATTTCCAATTGTATGGATAATAAAAATAATATGGATTAAAAATATATGATACTCATTTTATTTTAATTAATCATAAAAAATAAGACTTATAATTATCAATATAATTACTTTTTGAAGACTAATAATGTTCATATTCAAATATTGCATTGACAAATTAACCATCAAATTCTTATACTATCATTTAAATTGAATATCACATTAAAATGATTAATTTAATGTAATTCTTAATTTTTTTGCTAATTTTTTAGTTATTTGACTATGAATTTGCTTGAGCTAACTATAGCATTTTATAAAGTATAAAGTATTAAACATGATTGTAAGTTGTTGTGAGAAAAATAAATTTTGAAAATTATTGTGAATATCGTAAATATATATTTTTTAAAAAAATCAAATTATCATTAACAACATCAATTGTAAAAAGTATCTTCCCACCACATAATTTAAAAAAAAAGTAGCAAAACAAAACTTTAATTACAAGATGAAGAAAAAAGTTGTGATATAGTTTTTCCAAATAGACCCTATATCACAACAAAATGCATAACTTCAATTTTTCATTTTAAATTAGTAATGCCACGCAAGGTGTGAAAAATCAAACAAAAAAAAGTCAAAATGGTTGTAATTAACAAGAATTTTTTTTTCTTTGATAACCTGTTAATGCAACATAAGGCAATATATCAAATAGTTAGGTACACATTTTGTGCCCTTTTTTGCAGCATATGCAACTTATTTTTTGTAAGTGTTTTAAGCATTTGACTGAGGAATATATATTTTTCAATATCATCAATTTATTAATCAACTATATATTATAAGCTATAAAGATAAAAACATTCAATCAAAGAAATATTATGGCACTCGTTTATTATAATCATGTTTATTCACTTTATACTTTCATTGGTTTTATTCGAGCGAAATAGTTCAAAATCACTCAAAAATTAACATGAGTAAATAAGACAATACACATATATTTATGGATAAAATATCATATCATATGTGAGAGAGAGGTAACGAGTGTCATAAGAAGAGAAATATATTCAAATAAAGATTTATTATACACATGCTAAATTTTAAATGATCTGACACTCATATAATGTGAAAATTATTGGGTACAGATAAGAGCATGAAGAAACATACAGACAATCACACGACTAAGGCTTCGTTTGGGACAACATTCTTAATACTTTTTAAAACAGTTTTTTAATGCAAAAATTTCTTAAACTATTATTTTTTTTATTAGAAAGCTACTTTAGAAAATAGCATGTATAAATTTTGTATAAGAGAGAGAATGAACATTTAAGAGCATATAGATACATGCACACAACCAATTAGAGTTTATTTTGAGCATTTATTCTCATTCATTTGCATTTGAGAACACATTTCTATTTGATTATTTATCTTAAGAAAGTAATTATTTTTTGCAGTCATATCTATTAATATATAGTTACATCATGAGTTGGTAGAATTGAAAGATAAAAGGTGAATATAATTCATGCACATTTAATTTAATGCATTGGCAAAAAAACTAGTAATCTTAATCGCTGATTGGTTTAGGGGATTTCACTTAATTTTTTTACAACTCCAATTTTTTCTTTATAAAGTGTGGTGGTGGCATTTCTATTAGGTAGTATCTTAGAGCTATAAAGCTCCACAATCTAAATCACAGTGGATTTTGTAGTGATGACAATATGATATAGTTATCAATTGGATGAACCTGCATAAAATTTTTAATATATTTTGTGTGTTGATAAATATATTTTGTGTGTTGATATTTTTTTTCTATTTTATCTATGCTCAAAGATTGAAGTACATACGACTTAATTCTCAACATATATATATATATGCTCATTATCTCTCAAAAGAGCCAATAAAATCCTTCTAGATTCAAACTTCTCATTAGATTTTCTTTTTTGCAAAACGAGGGAGCAGTTAATGAGGATGGAAGAGGACCAACAATCTGAGATAAATTTGCCTATTCCATTGATAAACAATAAATTGAGTTATATCTTTCATTTGTTTTCTTCTTTGTAATTTGGATGGTAGGATAAATGGTAAATGATTTTATTCTAATATATGCAGGTAAGGTGCTAGATTTCAGCAATGCTGATGTTGTTGTTGATCATTATCACAAATATGAGGTCAAGCTTTATATTAGTCTGTTGTGTTAAGGAAAAAACAAAATGCAGAATATTTTAATTATTCAAAATATTTGTGCAGGAAGATGTGCAACTTATAGCAAACATTGGAATGGATGTTTATATATTTTCAATTGCTTGGTCCCGTATTTTTCCAAGTAACATTTCTTTTTATTCAATAAGTTTTTTGTTCCTTTTCCAAGCATGTTCCTTGTCATTTTCATGTACCATCTAAAAGCAATACATGTATCTAGTACATATGAATGTCTAAACTTGTATCATTAATGATTTAAAATAAATGCCTTTTTTTTATGTTTCCAGCATTAATATGCACACATCCAATGCATGAGTCTTCCTTCCAATTTCACGTTTGTGGAGAGTTTGATGCACACAAGTTTAAGTATGTTGCTTTCTAATAGCATTATCTTGTTAATTTAAAAAGAAGCTTTAAGACTATCGCAGTGCTGAAGGAGAAGAGACTTAAACATGCATGTAACTCCTCCAACTAAACAATGACCTAAGAATATGCAAATCACCTTGCTAGCCTCCATATAAACCATGACTCAATCTGAATGGAACAAAACAAATGCAAAACACTTCATTCCAAAACTCATAAACTACAAATGTTGTCACCCAATCTTTCTGTATATCTCCAATAACTAATGCTGAACTTATGCATTTGCATTCATCAAAAAACTAATACAATCATGTAAAGCAAAAAAGGGTTACAAACCCTTAAACAGAAAAAAATAAACTACTATCTTCCTCAAGAATATCAGAAAAATCTTGAGGAATAACATTATTAATCTCTCCTATATCCCAACGAAAAGAAGTAACTAAAGCTCTATGAGCACAGAAATGTGCTGCTCTGTTAAACCTCCTGTAAGCATGCACAAACACCACTTGTTGAAATGTCATCAACCAATTTCATCTATCACACTCTTCAGGCTATTGTTTCCAAAGTTCTCTGCTTTTAAAATCTTGCATATACTTGATTACACTTGAGTTGTCTCCCTCAATAATCACCCCCTTAAGATCAAACATCCAATCCTCAAGTAGCTTATCAATATACTGCATAGCCATCATTTCCACTCGAGTGGAATCCCAGTGGTTTATACTCCAACCAGCTTCCACTATCAATTTCCCATAGCTGTCCCGAACTACCATCCCTATTCCTCCTGCATTTGAACGAAGCAAAGCACCATCCACATTGATCTTCAACCATCCTGTAATTGATTTTTAACCATCCTGGGGGGGGGGGGACACCAAGAAGAAAGTGAAGACAATCCATAGGATTGAACAGTATCCCGTTTCTCCAGGTGGAAAGAAAGATAATTTTGATTCATGCTTTTAAGTATATTGGCTGCCATATAAACAGGAGACTGACTTTCCTTCCCATGCTTAATTGCATTCCTGTTCAGCCAACTGTGATAAAAAGTCAGACAGTAAAGAAAAATACCATTATCCTTACAATAAGCATTCCTCTCTAACGCCATCAGCATTTCTTCAAAAGAGCTGAACCGAGGTGTACAAAATCCCCAGCCATCCAGAATTTCCAACACCTCCAAAAGCTGCTTGCACTTAATTGTGATATGGTTTAAATCTTTTACCAAACAGCATCCAGCTGGACAGTTCACATCAACCTCAAAGCCCCGAGCATGTAACAAACTATTAGTTGGAACAATGTTTTTGAAAATCCTCCACCAGAACAAACGCTCTCTCAGCCTTAGTCCCATCTTTAAGATTACACAGCTTGGATCATCCTCTTCCACAAATATGCTATTGTAAACCATAGCTGAAACCGTGGAACCAATAGGGATTTTCATCAGCTCAAGCGAGTCCTCCTCCAAATCTTTCCAGATTTTAATTTCCACAATTTTATCAACAAGATCCTCTCCAAAGTATACTAGCAGTTTTTGCACATCCCAATTCCCAGATTCTGTAATTAGTTCCGCTACAGAGAGATCTTCAACTGCTACTATGTCATAAAATGTAGGCCACATCGATATAGCCCTATCCCATATCCAAATATGATTTAGAATGTCAATATTGCTGCCATTCACAACCTTCCATCTAACACAACAGCCTAAGCTTATTGCCCCATTACAAATAAGCTTCCATACAGTCGAATCTCCACGTTTAAATGCCTCCACCCATGGCCACTTCCCATATTTCTGCACCATACACCTATGCAGCAAACATCTGGGTTTACTAATGTACTCCCATGCAATTTCTCTAAGAGGGCCAACCCAATTGACATTAGCATGAAACCCAAGTCCTCCCATCCTCCTTGGTCTAGATACCATTTTCCATGATGCATAATGGATACCTTTATGATTAGCATCAGCATCCCAAAGGAAGTTTCTACAAACTTTCTCCACCTCATTTAAAATACCTCTTGGGACTAAAGTATGAGTCACCAAGTAAACATAAGAGGGAATCAAAAGTGAATTTATCAAAGTGACTCTACCTGCCATAGAAAGGTGTCTAACACCCCATGCCATTGTTTTAACCCGAGCTTGCTGCAACAAAGGGGCAAAGTCTTTTCTTGTAAGTCTTCTCAAAGCAAACTTGATACCCAAGTATTCCATTTCTTCTACCTTCCTACATCCAGTAATTTTTGCAAGCCAAGATCTTGTAGAAGAGGAAGTAGATTTGCTGAATAGTATATATGATTTACTTCTATTCACTTTTTGTCCAGTCCAAGAACAATACTCCTCCAGAATGGAAGACACCTTCTTCACATTTGGAATAGATGCACCTGCAAAAACTAAAATATCGTCAGCATAAAGAAGGTGGGAGACAGGAGGTCCCCCCCTTCTTATTGGAACACCCAGCTCCTTGAAATTCTGATGGATGTGTGCAGAGATCAACTCCGAACAGAGAATAAAAAGGTACTGTGATAATGGACAACCCTGACGAAACCCACATTTAGCCATAATCCCCTCAATTAATTGGCCATTTATGAGAATCAAGAATTTAGGATCTTGTACACAGCTAATCACCCAAGAGCTAAATCTAGGAGGAAAACCCATCTAACTCAGCACCATCTTCAAAGTTCTCAACTCATCTTGTCATAAGCTTGCTCCATATCAACTTTCAAGGCTAACATCCCTTTAGCTAATTTAGAAACCTTGAACTTATTCATGAGTTCTTGTCCCAACAAGCAATGATTAGAGATTGAACGCCCCTGCACGAAAGACACTTGTTCCTCTGATATCAATCCAGGTAGAATCCCTTTGACCCGGTTAACAAGAACCTTTGCAACAATATTATAGATTGTTTGACACAAACTAATGGGTCTGAATTTTGATGGCTGATCTGGATTATTCACCTTAGGTAATAGTACCACCACCGTCTCCTTCCACTTTGGATCCATAGTCCCAGATTCAAAGAATTCCAAGCAAGCACTCACAACCTGCTCCCCAACAATCTCCCAAAACAACTTAAAAAAAGAAGCTGTTACCCCATCTCTACCAGGTGCCTTATTCCGGCCCAAGGAACAAACCACTTTCCAGATTTCTTCTTTAGTAACCACATTATCCAAAATTTCAGCAAACAAAGCTAGATGCCCTCTTTGATTTTCAGAAGAAGGCCATCCATTTTCATTAATCACATTCCCTTGCCATTTCGACTCAAAGAATTTTTGGATTACCTCAAAAATTTCACCTTGCTCTGTTACCACATTACCATCCATCGGTTTGATAGAGTCAATGCATTTAGCTCTCCTCCTAGCTGATGCCATAGAATGGAAAAAATGGGTGTTGCCATCCCCCTCCTCTATCCACTTCACCTTAGCTCGTTGTCTCCACCAAGTCATGATACGAGCTAACGCACTATTCAATAACTGTACTTCATATCTCAAAGTTTCATTTTGAATATCATTCAACCCATCTGTAGAACATTCCAACTCTTGTAATGCCTTAATTTCTCTATCAAGATCTTCCTTTAGTTGATTAAGCATTTTGAGCTTGTTCTTACTCCAAAAGAACAGTGCTTTTAACGTCCTCTGGCATTTCCTTTGAAGTTTAACTGATTCACTGCCCAAGTCCTCCACCTTCCATTTCTCCCTTACTAAATGCCATGCCATTGGGTAGCTAGCCCATAAATCTTCAAACTTTATCCAATTAGAATAAGTCCTCTTCACCTCTCCCATAATACAACACAAAATGGGACAATGGTCTGAAGCCAATCTGGTAAGATACATAACCTTTAATCCCTGAAAATCATCAAGAATTGAAGAATTAACCAGAAAACGATCCAATCTTGAGAAAATCCTGCTCCTAGCATCTTTGTTATTAGTCCAAGTATAAGATGGACCTGAAAACCCAGGATCAACCAAATCATTTGCCAACATGAAATCAGCCATATCACCTGAAGCTGGAGAAAAATGAAAGGCCTTGCCTCCTTTCTTATCTTCCTGTGCCATAATACAATTGAAATCCCCTCCAACCAACAAGGGTGAATCCAAAATATGATTTTTAGAAATATCCTCCCAAAGAACCTTCCTGGTATATCTCTCCTTATCAGCATATACCACAGCTACTTCCATTCAATAGAATTTCCAAATCTGAGCCGCCCCATAATACACTGGTTGGATTGGAGCATAACATGGAAGGTACCAACACCACTCCTCCAAGCCACTAAGATGCCCCTAGCTCTACCAACAGCAGGCTGAAAAATAAAATCCCAATATCTTCCAACAAGTCTGTCAATGTCTTTTCTACAAAAAGACTCCATTTTAGTCTCCAACAAAGCAATGAAATTCACCTTGTTCTCCCCAATGAGGTGTCGTAAATAATTGCCCGTTTCCTTCTTACGAGCACCTCTGCAATTCCAACATAAGAGACTAAGCATAATTCACCAAAGGGGAAGCGTCCCCATCGCAAAAAGTTTCAGAAAAGACATCTTGCCATTGATCAACAAGATCCAACTCTTTTAATTTACCAACAACAGATTTATCCACCACATTTACCATTTGTTCAATAGAAGATGAAACTAACTCCTCATTGAGCTTCTTACTTCTTCTAATACCCGACATCTTTTGAAGAGGGCCAATCAAAGAAACTTCCTTCACATAACATTCTTTAGAGATCCTACTTTTCTTATTTTTATCTTTCAGCACACCAGATTTATTATCCGAGAACTTCAATACTTTAGGCACTAGCAACTGAGCCGGAGAAGGCTTTACTTCCCTACGATTTTTCCTCTTCACCACAGGCCGAGACAACAAATCATGACAAACAGGGATTTGAAATGAATTCTGTACAACTTGTTGTAAACCAATCTCCTCTTTAACCCGATCCATACCTCCAGGCTTCTCCAACGACATCTACTGCTTCCCATTAATTTCAACATTTTGCTTTGCAATTGATTGCACCACCCCATCAGGTTCAACAGATTTTTGCACTTTAGCTACCTCCCTCCAAACAGGTTTAGAAGCAGTAGCTGGAGCCACAGGTTTATTATTCACAGTTTGCGACCTGCTTCCATTCTATTATAAGATGGTCTCCTTCTTCTTGTACAATGGTCCATTCCCCCTCGTCATTATCAGCATCCAACTGGTCCCCATGTATAGATAAACCATCAGCATTCACCCTAACATCACCACCAGCTGACTGATCATCTCCCCTGTGATTTCCAGAACCAGCCATCTTAGCCTGAGCAACATCACCATTTACCTTTTTCACTTGTTGTTTTACCTGACCCAAATTCTCCTTGCACAAGTCCTCTTTGTGTCCAACCTTTCCACACTTTAAACAGATTATGGGGATCCCCTCATATTCAATTGGTTGAAAAAACCTCCTATTCAAACCTTGTGCCCAAACTCCCTTAGGGAGTCTCTTCGATAAATCAACTCTCACACACAGACGAGCACAAGCGCATCTGTTCCATAACTTCGTTTGTTCATCCATAAAGAGTGGAATTCCAATACCCGCAGCCAATCTTGCAAGGTTTGATTCATCCCAATATTCCAAAGGCAAATTTGGTAGATGAATCCAAACTGGAGAAGTAAATCCTCTCGAGGATTTAGCAGATAAACCTGAAGTCCATTGATCAATCCCAATGATCTGCCCTGCCACATACCAAGGACCCCCCAACAATACACTGTCCCTCGCCTCCTTATTTTCAAACCAACACAAGAAGCAGAACAATCCCATAGGATTCACCTGAGTAAGCCCAAGATGTCCCCATTTCCTTTGCAACTCGTTCTGGACTACATAAAATGGGAGCCGGCTCCCCAACAAGCTACCAACCAAAGCTATGCTTAGCTTCTGAACATTTTCCTTGGCTTTGTTTAAATTCAGATTTACTAGACCATCCTCCCTCAAGAAACTACCAACATCTTTAACCAAATTCAACTGGACTGCTGGAGACTTCTTCCACGCATTAGATGCCCTCCCAATCTCACCTCCTTCTTAACAAGCCGAGAATGGCTAAGCTTACCCAACTGCTGTTCAAAAGCCAAACTTCCCGAAGAGTCATTTCCCCGAACACCTGACGTGCTTCCAGCAACCTTAGAGGAACCACCCAAATCAGCATTACCCCATTTCCCCCTAAACACCTGATCATCAGTATTCATTCCCCCAAACATGAATTTTGGCAAATTGTTGGCCGAATTCATCTCAGTCTTCTGCACATTACTACCCGAAGAAACTTTGTTTTGGTCCCTTATAAAACTTCCATTACCAAATGTAAACAGAGGCTTATTGGATTCGAACATAGGATTATCAATTATTCTGCTTACCTCCACCTGATCAATAAGATCCCCCACTAATTTCCTCTTCAGATCCACCATATCACCATGCTTTGTTTCCACAGCCATGGCACATTTCCTTTATGGGACCGAATCCCCTGCCACAACATCATCAGAAAGGATAAACTACCCCTTCTCCACAACCTCCATCATCTCAGACCGTTTCGAAGTAGCAGCTGATCCGCCATGACCTCTAGCCTCATCAGTATCCCAGATCTGATCAGCCAGGTCCAACGATCTAGCTCCTTCGTTAACCTCTCTGACGAAATCCTCAGCTTCACTATCCCCCAAGATCTCCATAACCTCATCCAGATCTGATGAGTAATTCATTGACCGATCCCGATCTAAAGCTACAAAGCTCTCCGCATTTGATCCCATTTCCATCACCTCATTGGAATGTATCTCCTGCGCCTCAGCATTCTGCAAAACTCCCGCAGTAATCGAGCTCGCCGCTCCAGTTCCTGGAGCTCGAGTATATACCAGCCTCTTTCCATCTGCCTCAATATCTGCCAAACCTTCCAATCCAATTAAGGAAAATCTCCTCTCACTAGAACCTCCTCTTCTATTTACATCAGCTACCGATCCACCTCTATCCACAATATTTCTCCCTCGAGCACTAGCACGTGTTCTACCATCCGAACCCCCACCTTCTCCTCCTCCTCCATGCCCCGATGGGTGACGAGGGGGTGACCGACGGCCACCCCCAACCATAACCCAAGGATCTGACGATCAATCCCCGCCGGCGAGAATCCAACGCGAGAGAAAAATTTCTCTCAAGAAATCGCCGCAATCCGTCTCCAGAGCGATCGTCCTCGAGCCGGGAACCAAGAGAGAGAGAGAGAGAGAGAGAGAGAGATCTCCAATAACTAGTAACACATTTGAAATATGAACACTAAAATGCAAGACAAGTAATCAACGATTCTATCTACTTCTCAAAAGTTCCTTACAGGCTTCTCTATTTAGTCTCTACTAAAGTGAAGAAAATAGCTCTTTCAGGATTTTTGCAAATTAGATACACTAAAATTTTATATGAAAAAGATAGTTCTATTTATACATTCTATAGTTAAAGAAACCTCAAGTAAGGAAGAAAAAGCTATATCAATGAAAGGAATAGGAGAGCAAAATATAAATTCATTCAAAGTCTATAGTAACTCTTGCCATGATTTTCTTTTTGAGTTTGTTAACCTCCATTTTCGCCTATTTATCTTCGAGCGTGTTTGTTTAAGCTAATTGAACCTCGCCTAGGATAATTCAATTCAAATAAATATTGATTTGGGA